GATCTAGTACTTTGATCACAAAGCCCGCACTAATCACGCCCAGTGCCTCCGACGCTGCTGCTTCGGATCTCACAGCTCCGTGTGACAATCCAGGATTTCACAGCTCCGTGTTACTTTCCTCCCTTCTCTTGTTTTGCTCCAAAACAAGTGTTATCTCGCTTCCAACTTCTGAGACTCTGTAGATGATCTTCAATGATGCGCAGGTCTCTTTGATGAAGATAAACACTCTGGAATGATTTCTCTTGAATGATCTGAGTGTTTTCTCTCTTTGAATATATCAAGTAAAGCACTTGATTTTTTTGCTCTTCTTTGCTCTTCTTTTTGAACTCTCTGAATATTTTCTTTGAAGCTCTCTGAGTTCTTTTTCTTTTCTCACTTCTCACTTGAAGATTTTTGGTATGCTCTGTACCAAATGAGATTTTTGCTCTTTGCTCTTTTAAGCTTTATTGCTCTATTCGTTCCCCTTGATGAGTTCGTATTTTCTGCTCTCTTGTTCGTGATCTTCAAGTCTTCATATCTTCATCATTTTATAGCTGGTAATGAGAATCTGTCCGTTGGAAAGAGACGATCTCATTTTTGAAATCTTGTATCTTTTTGTCAGAGATCTTATCTTATCTTCTGCAAGGATGTCAGAAAGGATAAGCTAGCCGTTTGAGAGCTTGAACTTCATGCGAATGGTTTCTCAAACTTCATCTGATATTCCTCTGGTTTTACGTTGAGTGGGAATATCTGGGTGTAGAACGGCTTCTCTGATCAGCTCTGAAGTGGTCCTTGTATCTTTGGGATTTAAAAATATTCTTCAATTTAATCCCATACTAGTTAAACTAGTATTTTTCCTTGTGAGAATATTTTCACTGTAAGTTCATCTTCATCTTCATCTTCTTCATTCTCACGTCTGGGTGTTCTCAGACTTCAAACTGGCTTTGAACTTCCTCCCAATCTGAATTTCTCCATTGTAATTGACACCCAATTTCAATTGACTTGTAATTGGCACCCAATTTGAATTTCTCCCAATTTGAATTTCTCCATTGTAATTGACACCCAATTTCAATTGACTTGTAATTGGCACCCAATTTGAATTTCTCCTTTGTAATTGGCTCCCAATTGACTTTGACTTGCAATTGGTTCCCAAACTTCTCTTGGTGCTGAATTTTGTCTCAATTCAATTTGATCTCCATGTCTTCTTCGAATCGGTCCCCAATTTGAAATTGCATCCCATACTACAACCTCAATTGGCTCCCAATTTCAATTCTACATGCTGACTTTTGTCTCATGATCTCTCTTGGTGCTGAATTTTGTCTCAATTCAATTTGATCTCCATGTCTTTTTCGAATCGGTCCCCAGTTTGAAATTGGATCCCATTCTACAACCTCAATTGGCTCCCAATTTCAATTCTACACGCTGAATTTTGTCGATCGGTCCCCAATTTGAAATTGCATCCATACTACAACCTCAATTTGAAATTGCATCCCATACTACAACCTCAATTGGCTCCTAATTTCAATTCTACACGTTGAATTTTGTCGATCGGTCCCCAATTTGATATTGCATCCCATACTACAACCTCAATTGGCTCCCAATTTCACAGCCAATTTCAATTCTACATTGCCTCCCAATTTCAATTTCACAGCCAATTTCAATTCTACATTGGCTCCCAACTTGATTTTCCCTTGTGAAACTACAACCTCCAACTTGATTTTCCCTTGTGAAACTACAACCTCAATTGGCTCCCAATTTCAATTCTACATTGGCTCCTTCTACATTGGCTCCCAACTTGAATTGATTCCCTTGTGAAACTACAACCTCAATTGGCTCCCAATTTCAATTCTACATTGGCTTGATTTCAATTTCTCTGAAACTAGCTCCCAATTTCAATTCCAATTTCAATGGGGGCTCCATCAGATTTAATTAGATTTGGCTTCTCAAATTTTACCTTGTAAAATTGTTAATGGTGAGATTCAAACTTGAGCCATTTCGCATAACATATCAAACATCATCCACTTCGTCCGTACAACTATTAATTAAATCTCCAATCTTCTTTTATGTACTCCTTTCTTTCAATAGATGCTTGATCTCCAAGTCAATTTCATGCATTCTTCCAATCTTAATTTTCTTTCACGAAAATTCTTCTGGGATATTTCTTTGAGTAGCATTGACATGAATATTGTATCATTCATCTTCTTCTTCAATTTGTCATTTTCTCCAGACAAATTCTTGATTTTAGGCTTTATATCTTCTTCTTCTATTTTCATGCATCTTCCTCTGTTTTTCTCTTTTCCAATTTAAATAATTTCCCGATCATGGTCTAAGACTCTTTTTTTTTAAAGGAGCCTGCTCGGCATTTATTCAAAGTATGCTGAAATAGCGTCTGGTGGATCATCATCCGAATACATAAAAGCTGACTGAGTAAAAGCTGTAGATGCTAGAATGTGTGCTAAATAATTATCTGATCTTGAAACATAACAAATCGAACAAAAATCAAAAGCTAACATACTGGTCCTGCAAGTATCAATAGCATAATCCAGATATGAGCGCGGCGAGCGTGTCGAAGACGATAGATATTGTTGTAGGGTCAAACAATCCGTGAATAGTTGAATAGATCTTTCCCCACGTGCCCTTAACCAAGATAGAACCTCCTTGCATGCAAAGGCTTCCGCCATGAGCGGTGAAAAACAGTCTATTATTGGTGCCGACATTGCTGCGATGAAACCACCCTGTCCGTTGAGGATAACTGCACCAACTCCTGCTTTGTTCGTTTGATGAGAGTATGCAGCATCTAAATAACATTTGTATGTTAATGGCAGTTGTGGGTTGTTGGGCATGGAATGCAATACGGGTGGCAGTAGCGTACGTGGCACAGCAGCAGCAGGTGGTAATATAGGGCTCTCCACATTTGCAGCATTCGTTCCGTGACTTCCAGGTTGCAATTGCATGTCTTGTGCTCGAATATTCATAGAGCCAGGCATAGTTCTGATCGCCGAACATGTGGTTCCAGTGTGAACCAGCTTCCACGCGTTCATCGCCGAGGTTGCCATTGCTATCACCTTCCGAGGCCTTGGTAAATATGCCTCCCAAACAGCCCCATTCCTTGTTCGCCAAATATAATATAGAAGAGCCACTGCATAAATAATCCCATCATCATCTAAAATATTCATCAAATCATTAAACCAATCACTAAAAATGTTTGTGACACTATTTGGGATTGGAAGGTGGGATTGTGCCCAAATGTTAGCCGTATAGTCACATGTAATTAGAGAATGCACTATATCTTCATGAATGAGACCACACATAACACAAGTTGGATCAACATCCACTCTTCTCATAAGTAGGTTATCCTTAGTGGGCAATATATCATTCAAGGTTCGCCACAAAAAAGTTTTCCATTTCGGGGGGATTTTGAGCTTCCACAATTTCAACCATTTATCAAATCCCCCCATGTGACCAGTATAGTCACCAATTATTCTCCTATATCCATCTTTGACAGAATATTCCCCTCTCGGGTCCCCATACCAATACCACAAATCCTCATAGTCCGGCGATACAGGTACCTTCAATATTCGTACCACATCTTCAGGTATAAATATATCTTTGAGAATATCCTGATCCCAAGTTCCTGTTTGTTGGTCCATAAGTCCCATGACCGTTGCATGTGCCAGTTGGGGGGGGGGGTTTCTGTTTGTACTGTTGGATTAATATCATCATGCAACCAAGGTTGATCCCATATTAGAGTTGATTGACCATTCCCAATTCTGCGTCTAACCCCTCCTGAAATTAATTCCTGCGTCGCAAGAATACTACGCCAACAAAAACTTGGGTTATTCCCCAAAACTGCATCCATAAAAGTACCTCTGGGATAGTACCTGGCCCTGTATACTCTTGAAACCAACGATTGTGGTTGAGTTAGGAAACGCCACGCTTGCTTACCCAACATAGCAAGATTAGTTAGAGATACTCCTGCCTACGATTAGTTAGAGATAGCTAGCATAGGGCTTTGGGCATGCATGTTAGAGCCCCGGGGGCCACTTTATGTTATCTTGTCTTATCTTACTTTTCCTTACTTAGCTTATTAGTAGGATTTAGGCCATGTGGGGCCTAAGTCCATCCGGACCTTGTACTGGCCTTGGCCTTCCTTTTTATTAATAAACTTCTTTTTAAAAAAAAAAAAAAAAAAAAAAACATAGCAAGATTAAATCCTCGCAGTTCTCTAAACCCCAAACCTCCATATTTCTTAGGAATACATAGTTTATCCCAAGCCTTCCAATGAATACCCTGGTCATCCTTTGATCTCCACCAATATCTGTTCATGGTCCGCTCAATGGCTGTACACAAGTTCATGGGCAGTAAAAAGACACTCATTGAAAAGGTAGGCATAGCTTGAGCCACACTTTTCAACAAAATTTCTTTTCCTGCTTGCGATAATAACCGTTTGTTCCACGATGTAATCCTCTGTCTTATCTTATCCTCGATATATGAGAATGCTGCTCTTCTATTCCTTCCCACAAAAGAAGGAAGTCCTAGATATTTTACAAAGTTCGAAGCTTGCACCACACCCAATATATTGGCAATCTCTTCTCTTAGGTCATTTCTTGTATTCTTACTATAACAAATACTTGATTTGTGATAGTTAACTGCCTGTCCCGACATATCCTCATATTCTTTTTAATCACCTCCGCTTCTTGTACATTTGCCTTAAAGAAGGGCTGACTATCATCAGCAAAAAATAGGTGTGAAATAGCGGGTGCACCTCTAGCTACCCTACAGCCATGTATTTCTCCTCTCGCTTGAGCCTGCTGTAATAATAATGATAGCCCTTCTGCACAAATAATGAACAGATAAGGCGAGAGAGGGTCACCTTGCCTTAAACCACGGGTCGGGATGATCTGATTCGTTCGTGATCCATTCACTAGTACATTGTATGACACCATGGTGACACACATCATCAAAAGTTCGACCCACCTATCATCAAATCCCAACATCATAAGCGTTCTCCGTAGAAAGGGTCACTCCATCCGATCATAGGCTTTCGCCATATCCAGTTTCAGAGCCCCCCATCCTGCCAATCCACACTGCTTCCTGTTCAAATAATGGCCTACTTCCGCAGCAATCAAAATATTATCAGTGATCAACCTGTCAGCTATAAATGCACTCTGAGAGTCAGATATAATACTCCCCATTAGTGGTTTCATTTGAGCAGTAATAACCTTTGCCATTATCCTGTAAACCACATTACTCAACGCAATTGGTCTATAGTCAGACACCCTCTCCGGATTCTTCTTCTTTGGAATTAAAATAATATTTGTATCATTCAGACTAGCAGGTAATGTTCTAGTGTTCAAACAATTCACAATATATGAGGTTACATCATTACCCACCACATCCCAAAAGTGCTGATAAAATCCCGGATTCATCCCATCAGGCCCTGGTGCCTTATCCGGATACATGGAAAATAACGCAGCCTTTACTTCACTATCCTCAAAAGGCCGCAGTAGCTGCATATTCTGTGCATCGGTTACCCGTGGTTGTATATTCTCAAAAAATTCCACATTAACAGTAGGAGAATTCGTGGTAAAGATATCACGGTAATAATTCAAGATGACATTCATCATGGGCACCCCCTCAATCCAATCCCCACCATCATTCATTATTCTGGGAACAGTATTTTTCTTCTTTCTATGAGAAGCATACCTGTGGTAAAATTTCGTGTTCGCGTCCGCATCCTTGAGCCAGTGCTGTTTGGCCCTCTGCCTCCAATAGGTATCCTCCTGCAATTCAATACGGGTGAGACACTCCTCTAGCCGCCGGAACTCAGCTAAAGATGTCTGATCCGTACATCCCCTGAAACGCAACTGTTCTTTCCTTAGGGCCATTATTTGCTCTCCAAATTTAAGGAAACGATCTCCACCCCATCGTGTTAACCGTTCACCACAAACCGAGATACATCCTTGCAAACCGCGGGTCCTTCCTTCCCCCCAGGCCCTCTCAACCACATCCCTGCAACCATCATCATGCAGCCATGCCATCTCGAAGCGAAACCCTCTTCTCAAACCATCCCTCCTTTCCCGAAGATTCAGAATCCCAAGGAAAAGAGCAGAGTGATCCGACTTTCGGGTCAATATATTCTGCACACTTGCATCGACGACCAGGTCCCTCCAACTCTGAGTAGCCAAAACTTTATCTAAACGCTCTTCTATCCAATCCGGCGTTCCCTTCCCCTTCTCCCATGTAAACGGATATCCTGACATAGGCAACTGCATTAAGCCACAATCTTCCAAAGTTTCCCCGAAACCCCGTAATAGACTGTCCGGATGTGGATTTCCTCCTCGTTTCTCATACTGAAATAACAGGTCATTAAAATCACCAATCATTACCCACGGGAGGTCTGATTTGTTTGCCAATGAGCGAATTAAATCCCACGATTCTCCTCTCTGTGGCCGCTTTGAAAAACCATAGAAACCTGTCATTCTCCATTTATCAAATCCCGGTATACTCACTTCAATATCCACATGATTGTCAGAATAACTTATCAACCTGGCTGTATTATTCGCTCTCCATAACAACGCCAAACCACCGCTCAATCCATTATTGTCAACATAAAACAAACCATCGAAACCTAGTTTAATCCGAAGTCTTTCTGCATGATCCCGGTTAACCTTGGTTTCTATTAGAAATACAAAATCGGGTTTCTTACGGGCTACCATGCCCTCAATCTCCCGAACTGTCTGTGGATTACCCAAGCCACGACAGTTCCAGCTCAATGTACTCATTGGGTTGGGCGGGTCTGCACTGCAGCACCCGCCAATTGCAAGTTTTTTTGGACGTCTGTCATGGCTACATCCTCTCCCACATCCACCCGGTCACCCCCAGATCCCCCATCCATCGCCCTCCTCCGTTTGGCCACTGCATGGATAACAGCATGGTCCATAGACTCACCATCCACACCCCCACCGTCCCCCTCCCTCCTCTCCCCCCTCACCTCCCTCACCAGCTTCTCACCCTTCGGCTTCCCTCCCAATGGCACCAACCATGGGCCCCCTATCTCCCTCGGTCCTCGCACCCCCCCAGCCCGAAGATCATCACTATACGGAAATTGTGATACGGGCATGGTCGCATTCCTGGCTTTCAGACAAAATCTATAGGAATACCCCATCATTCCACAGAAAAAAACAAAATGTATGCAATCTTTCATACCTGAAATTCACCCAACAATACGATTTGTCTCGCTTCAACATTCTCATCCTGCGCTTCAAAGGCTTGTTCACCGGGATCGCCACACGTATACGGTAATAGGTTAACCAAGGCGCATCAAGAAACCGATCATCCAGTTTGATAAAAACCCCCAAAAAATTGCTAATCTGCTCTAGGATCTTATCCGACGTATACCCAAACAGCAAGTCATAGCACTGCACCCATAGCTCCACCGTGTCCAGTACTACATCCGTCGGTACCACCCCATCCGGGAGTTGCTTGCAAACAAGCGTATGATTCTGGAATGCCCATGGTCCTTCCTCCAATACATACTGCATATCAGTTAAGTGATAAAAGACAAACATAAACAGTTTTGGTTGCACCTCTGTCACCTGTACCCCACGCACTGGCTGCCACACCGAAGCCAAAACTTGTTTCATAAATTCAACTTTCACCGTCTTCTCAGTCAAGAAGCGACCGACCAGAACCCATGTCTCCTCAACCTCAGCCTATTCTTCCCCTTCGTCCGCAACCACCGGTTCGAAAGTGTCAGCTTCCTCCTCGAGGACAAGATCTGCCCATCGGGCTGTCAAACCTGCTACATCTCCTCCTACAGTTGTTGACGCCATACGGACAAAAAGCATGGACTAAGCAACCGCTGCTTGCGAGCACAATTCAGCAACGTGGGAATCTGTTGGCGTGAATTTACCTGCTGCTTACGAACCAATTCGGCGACGCAGATATTCTTCTACGTGAATTAATCTGCTGCTACGTGGATTTACCTGTGGCTTTTCTACTGCATGCGACCACAAAACTCAGCGGCGTGGATGTATTGACCACTTGCGATCACAAAAGGGCGGCGTGGTTAATCTAATGGTTGTGATCACCACTCGGCGATAGAATTAACATTATCGGAATACCGTAGAAAGCTAGAAAGTGTATGAAAACTAGGAATAAACCCTAGAAGAAGGCCAAAACCCTAAACATGCTAGAGAGACAAGTTCATTCCTTTGATCATGGTCTAAGACTCTACTAGACCTATAGAAATAAAATTGGGGGATCTACAAATACATATTTGGCATATCAAAACCATTACACTTTATTCCTAACAGTTAAACATTGGGATGTCGCAACTATACTGCCCCGCTTCTTGTAAATCCTCCAACAAATCCAAGAAAGTATAAGTGCACATGCTTCCTCATTGTATCGGGAAAAGCAAACCCCCTAGCAATTGCATGATAAGCAAGCGTGTAGACCAACGGTTGAACCACTCATCCTTTTGTTGATCTGTATGGCTAACAACGCGCCCATCCACTCTCAACCCAAATAAAATCTCAACATCTTGCAATGTCATCCCAACCTCCCCAAAAGGGAGGTGGAAAACATGAACTTCTGGGCGTCATCTCTCCCCGAGAGTTGTGATGAGCCCATGATCTAGGGTGATGTGACACAAATGTGCGACCCCATAAACTCTTGCAACACTGAGGTACCCTACTACTCTAGGGTCACGGGCCTCCTTGGTGTGAGGAACTAGGGTCGCTTTTTCACATCACCTATATGCATGTATTAAATATCCATCTTAAATGTTCTTTTACCATTTAAAAAAAAAAATAGTAAACTTTAGAATTTGTTTTAAGCAAGTTAGTTGCTTGTGGATTGTTATGTCATTGGTTTATCATCATTATTTTGGTATGCTTGTCTCCTTGTATATGAGATTGTTACTAAGGAATCAATATGAGTATATGACATTATTGTTTGCAAGCAATATATACACTATATACAGTGTTGTTCCCACCATAATCTTCCATTCTTTTCCACAACTTTCAGCCACCAGTATCTGGGGACTACAACATACCACGAACACAGCATTGCTATAACCCTTAATTTTTATGTATTGGAGTAAACGTTGAGAGTTGAAAATTAAATGAGAGTACATATATTTTCCTTCGTTAATACTAGTGCGTTACATTGATATTTGGTAAAACTTTTGATAATTTTTTAAAATAAAATTGACCATTTACTTATTTATTTAATACTAAAATTCTTGGTACCAATCAATCATTTAGAGTCAAAGACATCGCAGAAATAAACAACATCATTTACAAAAATTAAAAAAAAAAAATTCGGGACAACTAAAGTCAAGTTAGTCATGTTGTTGGTTACAAATTCTATTCGAGCTGACTGATCACTCAAAAATATTTTTTACCGAAATAGAACGGACATCTGAAGAATCAAAGGGGCTTTGAATTTAGTGGAGTATATTGATGGAAAAGATAGTTGCACCCATTTACGGAGTAATATATAAACATGCGTATGTATTGGATAATGCAATGCAATGCAACGAGGATACAACATTGGTTGAAGCAAATGAAATCAAACTTATGAGCATTGGTTTCACCCCAAAGGGAAATGGAGCTGATCGAGGGGGGACTTATTCCATTGCTTATATGATTACTTATACTTACAGACAAAAACACAAACAGTTGGTAGACGACGAGGAGAACAGCAGGCCAGGTGGCTAAGCTAGGCATGGCAGCAGTAGCAGTCAGGGATTTTGCAGGAACAGCTACAATAGCAACAGTCAATCGAATCATGGATGAGCAGTGCTCTTCTCAGCAACACTAGTGCTTCAACTGTAATACCCCCATTCTTAGCCGCCGGCAAAGCATTAGAAGTATGAGGCTGCGTCATAACAACATCATCTGTATCCTCATGGGCGTCGACCTTCAGTTGATCTCCCACCTGAAAACACCAAACCGAAAAAACAGCAACCACAATAAGCGTGCCCAACGCCACTCCGCTTTTCGCCATGCCAAAACGTACCGATGTAGCTACTAATACGTAAGATCGATCTTTTTTGCTCCAAGACGTACTATACAGTGTATTAGTGTATATAAAAATCTAGCCATGAGGGAGGATTCAAATATATATAGAGAGAGAGACAGAGACACGGGGAGAGAGAACTAGCTAGCTAGATTGCAATAAGCATCAGAGTTGATGGATACAAATTGTTGGCACTTTGGGATTTTCACATCAGATGGTGCAAACTTTAGGAAAAGACACAATGGAGAATATTTTCTGTTGTTTATTGGCTTTTTTGGATCAAACAAAAAGGTAAGAATTTATTTAAGGAAAAATGACACTCTTTCTAGTAAGTTATATACTTATAGCATTTTTTTTTTCTTTTAAATTATTCATGTAAGCACTAAGCACATTAGCCCTCAATTATTTTAAAAGTGACGGTTTTCCCCCTCTAATATATTAAATTGACATTTCTACCCTTAAAGGAAACATTTCATTTCTTTTTCTTCTCTAACAAATTATTGCGTATACATAGGGATGACCACGGTTCGGTTCTAACTGAACCGGACACTATAGTAATCGAATTAAAAATTTCTGGTTATGATTTAAATTCAGAACCCAATATTTGGAATTCAGTTTATTAAAATTATGAATCGAAAAAACTGGATCTTGAACAATGAATCGGTGGTTCCAAATCCAGTTCGCGATTTTGAACCGTCTTTATTTTAAAATTTTTTATATTCTATTTTAAAGTAGTCTAAATTCAAGAATAAATATATTTTATTTTTTTCAGTTCAGAACATGAACTGGCCATTCTGGTTCGCAATTTTAATAAACTCTAAATATCAGGTTTCGATTCAAAATTGTAATTGAAATATTCCGGTTTGGCTGCTATAGTGTCTGTTTGGTTTTGGACCAAATTATGGTTATAATTTGTTGGAAAAGAAAAATAAATAAAATATTTATTTTAAGGGTAAATATATACATTTAATATTTTAGGAGAAAAACAGTCACTTGAATAATTCAAAAAAGAAAATGCTATAACTATATAACTCAAAAGGTTTCCCTGTATTTAATATGTAAGACACCGGCGGGCATCACGCATAATTTTTTAATGAAAGAATTAAGATATGAAGATAATATAGAAATGATTTAGCTACTTCAATGAGTTAAAAACAAGTATAAGTTAGATTTAAAATGAGAATGTATTTAGATTCATTTTTTTAAAGGAAAAAGGGTTAAATTGGCCCATAAACTTTAAACCAAAAGTCAATTAGACACTTAAACTTTTTAAAAGTACAATAAAATTCTCAAACATGTCAAATTGAGGCAATGAAGCCCATGAATCGGTAAATGACCTGTTATTGCATGTCATTTCAGTTCAAGCATCACTCCGCGACCTCATACGAATTTCTGGCGACCGGCCAAGCCGTCGCCGGTTGCCATCTCCGGTGGAAGGCGACCAACTGGTTGCCTTCCGCTAGCGACTTCTCCATTGAAGGCCACCAGATCTAGTCGCCTTCTCCATGGAAGGCGACCTTGTAACAACCCAAAATTTAATTTCATAAATCCAATTTTAAGAAATTCCAAAATAGCCATTTTCACTCCATTAAAAATTTTTGCGATAAATTAGTATTTGAATAAATTATTTTGAGTTACATTTTAAATTTATTCAACACCAAAACTTAATTTTATTCCAAAATTCTAAATTTTCGGGTACTTCGCGTACCAAGTTTTAAACTGAGAAACCAATCTGAGTGAGACCGGGAGAAATCTG